GTAAATTTGTTTCTGGTGGAAAGTTGAAAGTCGTTGACTTTGTATTCCTAGTAAGAGTTGTTGAGAAGTGAGTTAGTGGTGTAGCTATCAGACGTTCTTATGATACAAGTCCACTTCTATCTATTAGGTTGAGCCTAGTTGGCCAGTGGGATGAAAAATAAAGAGTTGTAATATCATGAGTTCTCTCAGGAAAGCAGGACCTGAGAACGGATTGACCGAGGGAGAGGGGGAAAGGGGAGACGGTAGGATTATCCACTAAAGCACACAAATAGGAGAAAAGATTGTTTTGGTTCTTGTGCTAGTGTCTGGGAATAGAAAAAGAGCCACTTAATGTGAAAGAGTTAATTACAGAGCTGAAAGTTTTATCAGTGAAACCTTGGCTTAAAATTTAATTTAACCTTTTTTATCTTTAGTGCATATACCTTTGAAAGTTTAGGCTTAAATAGATGAACTCTTGAGTTTCCTTTTAGCTTTTAAGAATCTCGGCCTGTACTGTCCAATAGAACTTTTCTGCAATGATGAAAGTATTCTATGTCTGTCCTGTTTGATAACAGTCTATCCTGTTTGGTAACTACTATTCATATGAGACCATTGAGCATGTAAAACGGCTAGTGTGACTAAGGGACTAAATTTTTAAAATTTTACTGAATTTAAGCCATTTGTGGTTAGTTACTCTGCTGAACATCAGAGATTTAAGTCTTTCTCCAGAGCTTTCATTGCTGACCAGACTCGGTTCTTGGAATAGCCTTGTTTTAGTTGTGATTTTGGGGTCTACAATCTTGCCATTTTGAAATATGGTTGTAATAATTGGAGATGACCTGGTACTATTATATTGTGAAAATTTGTTCTTTATTGGGTAGCTTTTAATTTCACTTTATACTAACCTGACAAGTAGAGGTTTTGATTACATATTAAACTTTATGGAGCTTCTCAAAAATCAAGAGATGTAAATCAAGTATGTCTTAAAATTTCTAGTTGACCTTGATGTTTTTATTTCATACCGATCACCCAGCTCAAAAGCCATAGAGAAAATGCAGTGGGAAAAGCTTAACCTGTTCAATTTCTTTGCCTGTTTGAGTTCTTTGAGGATATGATCAAGAACTTACTAGGTTTATAATGTTATTCCAAAATTATTGAAGGGAACATGTTGCTATTTTAAAAGTCTTAACTGAAGTGGATTGTTAATTGGAAAAATGCTTAAGAGTACACCATATCTAAAGGACAGTACTGCTTTTTCCCCTAGCTAGTTTCATATTACATAGTAGTGGTATATAGGAAGAAGAGCCACTCCAGCTTCATTGGTGTTCAATTATGTCTTTTGTGTAGGGTATGTCTCTGAACTTGGAACCTGACAATGTTGGTGTTGTCGTGTTTGGAAACGATAAACTAATTAAGGAAGGAGATATTGTGAAGCGAACAGGAGCCATTGTGGATGTTCCAGTTGGCGAGGAGCTGTTGGGTCGTGTAGTAGATGCCCTTGGTAATGCCATTGATGGAAAGGTAGGTTTATCACATATAAGATGTGGTCGTAGCTTCTAACAAACATTGAAACTGATTGTTTTGGGTTCCTTTTTATGTTTAACAGGGTCCAATTGGTTCCAAGACCCGTAGGCGAGTTGGCCTGAAAGCCCCTGGGATCATTCCTCGAATCTCTGTGCGAGAACCAATGCAGACTGGCATTAAGGCTGTGGATAGCTTAGTGCCAATTGGTCGTGGTCAGCGTGAGCTAATTATTGGTGACCGACAGACTGGGTAAAGACTCAGTAGCTTGTTATAAGTTCTAACTAGAATTGGCTTTATGGAAAGATTACTCTTTGGGTTTGGAATGGCAAATGCTTTGGATATAATGCGGGGAGGAGAATGTAATATGCAGATTAGTAATAGTAGTGAAATTTTAATTGGGAAGTCCTTTGAAGTACTTATTTGGTGAGATTTGTTTACTCTCTTTTTAAAAGGAAAACATCAATTGCTATTGACACAATCATTAACCAGAAGCGTTTCAATGATGGAACTGATGAAAAGAAGAAGCTATACTGTATCTACGTAGCTATTGGTCAGAAGAGATCCACTGTTGCTCAGTTGGTGAAGAGACTTACAGATGCAGGTATTAAAGAGCTTTAGTCCCCATTGCTGTTATCTTGGAGTCCTGTAGCTGCCAATCTTAGGATGGCGTCTACTTAATGAAGGCTGATTTTAATTACTCTCCAATGAACTGAACTTTCTACTGATACAATTGATAAATAAAATAGTAAGTAAAGTAGCATAAAACAACAATAAGTTAAGATTTTATCAGTTTCTTCAGAAGCTGATTAATGTTAATAATAAATAATAAAGGACTCAATTTTTATTATGGTAGCATTTAATTTAAAAACTGCAATAACAACATCCTAGTAAATCTTAATCTATTTTCTTCTCAGATGCCATGAAGTACACCATTGTGGTTTCAGCTACTGCTTCTGATGCTGCCCCACTTCAGTACCTGGCTCCTTATTCTGGCTGTTCTATGGGAGAATATTTTAGGGATAATGGCAAACATGCTTTGATCATCTATGATGACTTATCCAAACAGGTGAAAGGAGATGTATTTTTAGAATCTGTATGTTTGCATCACAATGGAAAAATGTAGCTTTTGTCTAATAGGTGAATTTCACAACCCTTTTCCATACTGTAGGCTGTTGCTTATCGTCAGATGTCTCTGCTGCTCCGCCGACCCCCTGGTCGTGAGGCTTATCCTGGTGATGTGTTCTACCTGCACTCCCGTCTGCTAGAAAGAGCAGCCAAAATGAACGATTCTTTTGGTGGTGGCTCCTTGACTGCTTTACCAGTCATAGAAACACAAGCTGGTGATGTGTCTGCTTACATTCCGACAAACGTCATTTCTATCACTGATGGACAGGTATTTTTGTGATTAAGTGTAAAAACTTAGGTTGATTCCAAGGCATTGCTTGAGACTAGTGGCTATGAACTGATTTGTTAAAGCTTTTTACTTTTTTCAGATGTATACAAAAGGAGAACAGTATAGCAAAACCATTTATCTCTTACTCATTTGTCAATTCATGATAGAATGTACTTCATTCTTGCTTCATTTATACCCACTACTATCCCCTACCCTAATTCTTTTGAGCAAATTCCAGAGATTGTATCATTTCACCTGTATATATTTTAATAAAAGATATACCTATTTTTTGTTCATGTCACGCATATCTAATTTTAGCAGTGAAGTGTTTAGCTTGATTTGGATTGTGAAAGATTAGAGGGGCTCTACCATAGAAGTCACTTAGCATTCTTCTTTGGAATTTTTGGGCTTCAATTTTTTGAAGCATGGGGTCTTAATTTTGAAATAGTTGATTTTTTTAAGTTTGCTAGTATATGTATTCTCCTTACATTTTAGATCTTCTTGGAAACAGAATTGTTCTACAAAGGTATCCGCCCTGCTATTAATGTTGGTTTGTCTGTGTCCCGTGTTGGATCTGCTGCCCAAACCAGGGCCATGAAGCAGGTAATTTGCATCACTTTGTTGGGGAGCGATATCAAATCAAAGTGTATTTGTATAGAGTTCTGTGTCATTGCAGTAAGTTTTTGAATTGTATGGGTTAACCATCTCTTTATTTCAGGTGGCAGGTACCATGAAACTGGAATTGGCTCAGTATCGTGAGGTTGCTGCTTTTGCTCAGTTCGGTTCTGATCTTGATGCAGCCACTCAACAGCTCTTGAGTCGTGGTGTGCGACTGACTGAGTTGCTGAAGCAAGGACAGTATTGTGAGTCGTTCTTTTCATTTGCTCAGGTTCCTATTAGGGCCTAGGAATATCATGTAGCTCCCTTAAAAGTGGCTGTTATATATGCCGGTGTAATACATGCTGTTAATCTTTCATCAACAGTATTGCCTTTTGAATGCAGTTGATGCCTGTTTTATTACTTACAGTCCTATCATTTAAATGTAAATGCTACAAACTTAGTAACTGGGAAAACTTACTAAGTATATTTAATACTTTGCTTTTGGGAATTAAGACCTATTAGTAGATGTCCTGTTCCCCCTGCCCCCCAGCTATAAGTGTGGAATTTGGTAGGTTTAGAAGAATATTAGCATTTATCTTGCTATATAAAAGGTTAACATTATTTATGTTGAAAACAAACACTGCCAGATGATAAACAGTGCTTATGAAATATGCCCAAATACACTTTAGAGCTTGCAAACATAAGAAAAAACTAATTCCTGGGGAGGGAGTGGGAAGGAGTTTCTCACTGAGAAAGTGAGACTAGGTGATATGTTAGAGAAATGTTAATAATTGTAGGAAAATAAGTTTCTCTGACTTTGGCAACATGGCGTTTTATGTTTGAACAACTCACTTGGCGTTCTTGTTTCTGTTTAGCTCCCATGGCTATTGAAGAACAAGTGGCTGTTATTTATGCCGGTGTGAGGGGGTATCTAGATAAACTGGAGCCCAGCAAGATCACAAAGTTTGAGAATGCTTTCCTGTCCCATGTTATCAGCCAACACCAAGCCCTGTTGGGCAATATCAGGTATGAACACAATTGATGGTCTATATAAAATCTTGCTAAAATTCTTTTGAATTTTTTAGTTAAGAAAGTCATTGAATTTTTGTCCAGGTCAGAACTGATGATCTGCTTTTATTTCTGAATAGGGCTGATGGAAAGATCTCAGAACAGTCAGATGCAAAACTGAAAGAGATTGTAACAAACTTCTTGGCTGGATTTGAAGCTTAAACTCCAATGGATTCACATCAAATACTAGTTTGGTTTTGTTATTGTTTCTTCTAGTAATAAGTTCCATTTGTAAAAGGATTACTCATACTCCAGTTGTACAGAAATCACATTAAAAATAAAGGTTCCATATTGCTTTGTGGTTTTCTGTAGTTTAACTCTTTAGAAAGAACTGAGATTACTTTGAAGAATTAGTAAATATACTTAGCTTATTTTACTTGACTGTTAGAATCAATGGGCTTGGATAACTTTGCAAGATTCTAGAGTGTTTTGTGATAAATTTAATTCATAAACTGGGTATATGTGGCAAAGTTCACATTTGATAAACTGGTATTTGATCAAAAGCTGGATAACAGCCTCGCCAAGTTGACACACAAAATTGACCACAGTTCATCTGGAGTTATATTTTTGTGCGGATCTATTTTTTTTCCTTTTCCATATGCATATCCAATTTTTTCAGCTCCCTTTATTAATGGCTTCTCCCCATTTAATCTGCCAGGACACCTGTGTCCTATGTGGCCCTTTCCCTGGTAGTTTTGCTGAGCCACAGCCATCCCATTCTACTGCAACAATGAACCAAGAGAAACAAATTCTGAAATTTAAATGTTGTTTATTACAGACCAGTGAAATGGGAGAGCTCACAGCCACCAGGCCTGCAAAAATATTGTGCCTAATGGCCCTTCTATATGACAGCCAAGTGGCTGTCGCAAAATGTTTTTCGTATAACTTACTGGGGAGTCGTGAAATGAGAAAGTTAACATAAATTGAGTAAGATGCAGTCCACATTGAAATTTCCCCAAATATCTCCTAGTCATTTTCTATAGTTTTTAAAAATTAGAGGTCAAAGTTTACCTTTTACTTTGTCTATTTTAACCTCTTTAAGTCTAGACTATCTCATTAATCTTGTTTTCCATGACTGTTTTAAGGAGACGGCTGGTTGTCCTTTAGAACATCTTAAATTTTAATTGAGATCTCAAATCAGATCTAATATTTTGTTATTCAGATTGTTCCAGCCTTGGCCATGAGGGGATGGAGGCTCTTTCAATTGTCTCCTGTGCCTCAAGTGCGTGTGTGCATGCATGCATGCTTGGGGGTGCTTGCCTGTGTATATATGTGTGTGCTTTCTGGCAGCACAAGATGCTCCAGGCATATTTCCTGTCCCAGCCTTAGAAACTACTGGTTTTGTTTTGTTTTACAAATTCTCTATATATAATGGATGTGAGTACTTTGTAGGACAAATGTGTCATAAATTTCCTCTCCTATGGCTCGCCATTCACTCTCATTGGTGGCTTTTGATGAAAAGAAAGCCCTCCACATATAGTAGGTTGTATTTTGTGTCAGTAGATACCCAAGTTTTTCCATTTTTAAACTTTGGTGAGAAATGGATCCTTTGAGTCCCTTACCTGACTCACTCAAATTTTGATAGTATCTACTCTAACCATTGCTTTGATCCAGGGTAGACCTCAACCACTGCACAGCAAATCTCGGCACTGAAGCCTTCTGAATGTTTTTCCTGTGTGTTCTCTTCCTGTCCTGAGACTGCTCCATTCCTCCATCTACTCAGCTTCTAACCTTAGTGACAAAATCCAGCCTCTCCACTTTTGACATTGACCTGGCTAACCTAATAATACCTTACTCTTGCCTTCTGATGCTTTCAGACCATGGCTGGTTGGCCAGGTTCTGGTCCTGAGATCCCATTTGGCTTTAGCTACTTGGCCAGTACCCCTGCCAGGTTTGCTTCTGCTTCCTGGAAGGGAGAGGTTAGACTTGGAACTGAAATAAAAATCAGTATTGCTATTGAGAATCAAAATTCATTGAATTCTCTGACCTCCATTGTCTAATAGCCTTATCTAGAGGTACTTCACGGACTAATTGAAGAGGTAAGATATCTAGGAGGAACAAATTAAGACTAAGGATGTGTCATGTTTTAAGGGCTAGTTTGTGTGATAAAGATGAAAACTTGTTAGATGCTCAAGTTAGAAGACCCGGGGCTGGAGAAGGTAGGGAAGTGGTGATGAGATGGAACGAGCAGGAGGACGTGCAACCCAGTAGCCTGCAAAGCTCAAGAGCCTGGCTGGCGTAAAGTGTGAGAATAGGAAGTGGGGAATGAGATATGGGACAGCTTGGACAGAGGTGTTTGGGACTTAATTCTGATGGGCAATAGGGAAAGTTGGTGGCTTTGTGAGGAGAGGAGAGATGAAGAAAGCAGTGTTTTAAGGATGAAAGATTAAGAAGAGTGACCTGATAATCAGTATGAGGTTGGATTGGCAGAAAGAAGGAGGAGGGAGAGGCATGTAGATACCATGTTTTCAAAAGTATGAAAGGAAATTGATTTTAGTGGGTGTTTGTTTTTGCCACTTGCCATTCGTTTATTCCATTTCAGTGAAAAGATCTTTATTCTGTGTTTCAGATCTTTTGCTAGAATAACTGTGCTGCCGTGAATAACTATACATCTTTCACTTTGTACATAAGAGAATACATTTTAGGGTAAATTCTTTGACATGGACATTTTGAGTCAAAAGATAGGTGTATTTTAAATTTTAATGCATGGATGAATTTCTTTTCATAAAGATAATCGATTTTACATGCAAGAGTGTCAGTTTGGGCACTGTGTGATCAAACTTGTTAGGAAAGATGTATTTAAGGACTAGAAAATACTTAAGAAATATTGTTTTAAAAGCAACACAAAATTTTATGCACATTAAGATCTTAACCATGCAATGTGTATTATTGGAAGAGATTATGCCAAAATATTAAGTCATCTTAAATGTATTGGTCATTAAATTTAATTATTTCATAATTGCCATAATAGTATTATTTAACTTTGCTGGTGAAATGCCCCAAATTTGTTATAGACCCTTGGATACAGTACACATTTTACTTGTCTTTACAACACCTGTCCAGGTGATGAGCTTATTAATGAGGGAGAAGGGATGAGCAGCAGGAACAACAATTTGCAATTTTCAATCTTGCCACCAGGTGGTGGAAGAGTTAAAATTCGGGTATCTTTGGGGCCAGATCCTGGAAAGTAAGCACAATGTAACTTGAGAGCTTGTAAGACTTTCTAATACTTAAATATATATACATATATTTTATATATAATTAAAACTTAAACAATTAGAACTGTATGTAAAATATTTGTTATAAAATCGTGAAAACGTCCAAGGAAAGTCTTGGTCCTGTCTTTGGCTTTTCAGCTTCTTTTATTTCCCCAGTTGGCTCTATTTCTTAACCTTCTTGCGGTTTAACTTGTCCTCCTGCTGCCCCCTGATGGTGCTGCCATCCGTTCCTTCCTTCTAACTTCACTGCTTTCCATAGAGTAACAACCAGATGAATGGATGCATGCCTTCAGAGTGACTCAGGGCTGGAGGCCACCTCCTTAGCATTGTAGTTGTGGATTACTCTACTGGTGGGATTTCATCATAGTGGGCCTGGAGGTGGCATACCAGACAGAACCTTTGCGTTGTGCTTCAGATAGCCCCAGCAAATGCTCTTTCACTGTGTCTGGATAGAGCTAGAACCTACTCAAGAGGCAAGCGCCCTGGGAGTATGAGCGCTTAAATACTCTGTGATCTTGGGCAAGTCATCGGGCCTTTCTGGGCTTCAGTTTTGGCTAAGAGCACCTTCTTGCGGCAAAGCAGGGATGGGTCTAACTTGCCCTGGGATTATGAGAGTGGAGGGAGAGGAAGCTCTGGGATCCTACTGCTGGAGTGGAATTGGTAAAGAAGGGCCTTGGGTCCCGAGATTGGGAAAATTAGAGATGGAAGGTAGCCTTTGCAAATTACCCTTCAGGATCTCAGATACCTGGAAAGGGAGGAGCTGAGCTCCTAGATGACCTAGAGTCAGTATCAATGACCTTTCCATTATTTCTAGACTGAAACGTGCCCCAAGGGCTGGTCTGCAGCCAACACACCTGGGGCCTTGCAAAGCGTCTGTCTACACCTCACGTGGCCGCTGGTATTGTCGGCCCTCAGGCTTAACCCAGCCAACAGCCGGTCCACGCGACCATCCTCTAATCAGCCGGGGGGCTTCTCCATCGCTCCGCTGAACTTGGATTTCTCTGCGTGGAATTCGGTCGAGACTGGAGTGGGCTTGTGGGCAGGGCCGGAGCCGAATTCGGGCAGGCGACTGGACCAGTTCCTTCTAAACCCCCGAGGCTTCTTGAAAAGGGCTCGCTAGTTGATCGCTGGCTGACCTTGGGGGGAGGCTTTAAACCTGTCCGAGCGCGGGACGTGAGAGCCGGGCTCCGGGCATCAGGCGCCCGCAGGGCGGGAGGCGGAGCGCACCAGCCTGGCGTGCGGCATCGGGCGTGGTTTAGGACCCCGGGGCGGGCCCTCGCGGCTGACGGTGCGACTCCAGAGCTGGGCTGCGGGACTACCCGCCGTGACCGCCAGGCTTCCCCACCGCTGCAGCTGCTCCGCTCTGCTCCGAACCAGCCCGCGCGCCGGCCATGACGCGCTCACTGTTCAAGGGGAACTTCTGGGTAAGTCTGCGGGGCGGGCAGCAGACCTCCGGGCTCGGAACCCGCCGGGGCAGGCGGCCAGCCCGGGGCCGCGCCATGGGCAAGCGCACGGGCGCCCCAGGTCCGCACCACTCTGGGACCGTGCCCGGCGCCGCGCGCCTGGGGTGTCCGGGGACCCGGCTGGCGGTGGAGATCCTGGTCCTGCTGCTCAGGGTCAGAACCCGTACGGACACCCGGCCGCGGCCCCTAGCCGACCGCGCGTCTGCAAGTCCTCGGGTCTCGTCCCTGGGTTCTCTTCTGCCGCCCGTGCCCCCAGCAGCTCGTACTCCCGCAGACGGGTATAGCCCGAGACCCCACAGAGTGGGGACATCCACCCCTCATCTCACAGTGGAGGAAACCGAGACCCAAAGGGAGGAGCGACCCGACTGGGAAGAGTAGCCGGTGGCCCCGGAGGCTGCGCCTTCAGCGGATTTGGGGGCACCTGGGGTAATCTTCGCTGGGCTGACAGCGGCAGTCACCCCCAGGGGATGGTCTTTACCAGGTTCCCAGAAACGTACATCCTGTCCGAGCCCCGTTAGCGCCCGACTTTACCCTGCAGAACTTAGAGGGGTTCTCTTGCTCTGCCCATCTGGCAGGCCAGTGTCCTGAATCCCCTCCCCAGGCCTTGGCCCTGCGCGGAAGGAGGCTGACGTGTGTGAGAACCTAGAGCTGGTGGGGGCATCCAGTCCGCGTAGGACCGGCCCAAGCAGGAGGCAGCAGGCTGCCTGCCCCCTTCCTCTATCGAGTCTTCTCACTCCCCAGGTACCCCTCAAGGGTGTGTACCCCCTCACTTGGAGGAACTGCCCTTATCCCTTTAAGAAAGGAGCAGGAAGTCAGCACACCTCAGAGTTGACCTACAGCTGCCAAGTGGCGGCAACTCCTTACTTGGAACACTGCTTGCCTTCCATTTAGCTTCACAGCTGCCTGGCAGGTCCTTGTCCCCCACCATGGGCTGCTGGTTGGATAAAACTGACAATGTGGCCTCAGAGACAGTTAATATCCTGCCTTGTGAGGTCCCTTTTCCTGAAATCTTTGAGATTCTCTTGGAGCACTGCTCACCTATAGTGTGCAGGATCATGGAGATTCACAGAGAGGGTGAACAACCTCATAGATGGCCCTGTGTGGAGGCCTGGGAATTCTTCAGGTAGAATATAGGACTTTGAGGTTTCATGACAGGCATTGTGGGGAAAAGCAAAGCAGAGAGACCCGTCTCCCCAGCCCACAAGGCATGCCACCCAATTTTCAGATCTTGACCCAGATGTCACCTCTTCAGGGAAGCTTTTCCTGATTACGCCCAACAGGCCCCGTCACCTGCTCACTTGGTGTACATCCTCTTTCTTCATAGTATTTGTTAGTTTAGAGTTTTGAATTTGAGGCCTACAAACATGTGAGCACCTTGTGGACAAGTACTGTGCTGGCTTCCAGTGCCACTGCCCCTTGCACAGGCTGATATAATAGGTGCTCAGCAAATAGTTGCTGAACAAGTAAAGTAGATCTGTAAGGCCAACAGGGCATGTGATGGGGTGAGAGCTGAATCCTCCAAGGGCTCCCAGGCCACAGTGAGGGAGCCCCCCAGCTGCTCCCGATGCATTCTTGCAGGAGTGAGAAGGGGAAGGGGGCAGAAATGAGATCTGGGTTGGGATTTAGAGGTTGTGTGATGATGTGGGGGCAAAACTTTTTGGGTTGTACTTTCAGAAGTTACCTGAGATCTTGAGAGATAATTTACAAAGAGTATCTCCCATCTCTAATTTTCTGTGACACTTATGTCAATATAAACAATTGCTAATAGTACTTTGCACAGAGTCTTTGGAAAGCTCCTCTAAATGCTTCACACATACTACTCATTTAAGCTGCACAACTACCCTATGGGGTAGATTACTTATTATCCCATTTCACAGATGAGGAAACTGAGTGGCAGAGAGGTTAAGCAACATTCCCAAGGTCCTAGAGCTGTTTAATAGTGGAGCAGGAGTGTGTGGACCAAGTATTCAGTGAGTGCCTCAAGAAGGGTGGCACTCAGCAAGTGTCCCAGAATAGCTGTCTATATGTCTGTCTTCCATGGCAGTGCCAGAGGAAGTTTGTGGTTCACCATTGGACCTTCATATGAATATATCTTTCTCCTTCAGCTCTAACCATGAGCTTCTGGAGGGCAAGCACTGGGTGTTACATCAGCTGAGCCCCGAACAGCTGCTATAGTGCCTTGCCTTGGATGCTCAGGAGTCAGGCAGAAGGGACAGGTAACCAGGACTTGAAAGGAGAGGGGCAGCAGGGAATCTGTTGGAGGGTTCAGGGGCTGCCTGTGAGACTTTCACACTCTCAGGGTGGGGAGGCAAGGGCTGTTGTGAGCACTGAGGGTATGGCAGTGACTTTCATGTTTCAAAGACAATGTGATTGGGTAAGGTAGGGAACTTTACAAACATAGCAGGTATCAGTTGACCGAATTTAATACATATTCATGAAATACCTTCTCTGTATAAGGAGCTCTAATGGAGAGGGTATTGCAGGATAGATAGGATCACCACTTTTGTTAGAGAATAGATTTCTCATGAAGAAACAAGGCTTTGGCCTTGAATGCCTTGCTTCGAGGATGGAGGAGGAAGGGGCAGGGAGGATGGAGAGTCCAGCAGGGACCAAGGAAACAGGGCTTGCAGTAGAAAGGGTCTGCTCCAGGGTGGAACAGGTGGGAGGAGCAGCAGAGGGTAGAAGAGGTCAAAGGCACAGGACAATGCCACCAATTGAAGGTGAGCAGTAGGGAAGAGGAAAGGAGGGCTCTTGTAGCATAAACTGGAGAATGAGGAAGTCGAGAGGAGGAACTGATTTGTGGAAAGAGAAGGGGGAGGAGGCAGAAGTGATATTAACAATATTTAACTACAGGGCTAGCACTGCGAGGACCAAGGCCAACAGCATCCTGAAGCCCCCACTCCCCAGCCCTCAGCTCCCAGCACCATGCCAGGGGTGCTGGATTTGGGGAGGGAGGGTCCTGGGGAGGGCAGGACCAGGTGGCAGGGTTTGGAAGTATTTTAATGTTTTAACAACCAGTGCAAACATGTCACTGAGTACTCTTTGATGTCTGGTGGTCTGCATTCTCAGTTTGAAAGGTTGGTGGAAATGACCCTAGCCCTTTGGAAAGGGTGTCCAGGTGAGAGAGTACATGGAACAGTGTGAAGTACAGGATGTCATCAGTTACCAGCAGAGGCCATGAGGTGGACTGGCCGAGTTCAAATCCCGGGTCTGCCCGTTACTCACTGGGCACCTTAGGCAGTTGCTTCAACCTCCCTCCCAAGCCTCAGTTTTCCAATGAATAAAAATGGGGATAATAACAATGTCTGCTCCACAGGACTGTTGAGAGGATGAAATCAGAGTTTAGTACAGTGCCTGGCACATAGTGAACACTGTCAGCTATTAGCACAGAGGTGACAATTAAAGGAAGTGAGTGACAGTCACTCAGTTGAAGAGAAAGAATGAAGAGATAAAATGTCCCCAAAGAAGCACTCTTAGTGAATGCCTGTGTCTACGCAGGAGGAGGGAGGCGGGCAGAGAGAGGCAGAGACATCAGACTACAACCAGGAAATCTATCCCGGACCCAAGAGAGGAATGTTCCATGGAAGTTGAGAGGCCCATGGTCAAATTAGGTAGATGTTCCTGAAAAGGTATGAGTCAGCATATACTTCATAAACAATCTTATTCAAATGCTCCACGGGAATGCTTATTTAAAGGAAGTTTTCAGTGGATCCATTTGAGAAGGGGGATACTCAGTGTTCTTTAAATTGGGATTGGTCCCTAGTTTGCCTGACGAGAAGCGCACCTTACCTATGTGTTCCTTTTTTTGTGGCAGTGTGGTTTAATGGTGCTGTGTCATTTGGGCTGGTTAATGTGGATGGTACCTTGTTAGAATAAAACAGTGACCATGGCTGTGCTTTCCAGAGCTCCAGAGCGGTAGCTGGGCCACAGTAGAGGAAAAATCGCAGTCTTTAGCATGATCAGACACAAGTGTCTTTCAAATGTGGATATGCACAGATGACTGTAGAACCTGCTCTGGAAGAGGTAGATGTCCTTCACACAGGAGATTCCCATGTTCCTCACGTGGGTGTGAGGCCCAATCTGTCCCTGTACATCCTCTAAATTCTATTTCGACCCAGCCTTTCTGATTGTCAAGGCTCTTGTTCAGACCAGCTTCCTAGTCCCCGTCTCAACACTCTTCCCTAACTTACTGCACCTGCAGAGAGCAGGGCCTCTCTGCTCTTCCTGGGGGAAGTCTTGGGGCTGTCTAAACTTAGTGTGCCCTGGGCTGTCTTTCTGCTTATAACCTTTGACTGGTTTGAAATCTTGTCATTCTGAGGACTTACCAGAGCTTGAGCTGGTGCTGTATCCAGCTTTGCTCGGTGACTTTTCTCTATACAGTGTGGGAGGCTCCATTTTTTTTTCTTAAATAAACAAAGAAGAGAACAAGTCATCACACAGACCCATCGTGCTGACCCCATGTGCTATTTCATACCACGTTTAGACTGTTGCTTTAATTTTTTTTAATACTCTTTCTTGGAAACTGGTCCCTAGAAACGCGTCGTGAAGACTATTTTGTATTGTCCGGCCTAGTGGCAAAATGAAAGGCAAAGTCACTGACGATTGCCTTTCTCCAATTTGTTCTTGCAAGATCAGTCAGTGAGATGTATCTTTAAAATAATTGTCAAAATCCTTTTTTATTGTTTTATCTTCTTAAAAATTTAATAAGAGAGATATAGGACCAATCTTTTAAGGAAAACAGAAATTCTTATTGAGATATGTAAAATAAAATCTGAACAAGTAGAGAGACATAGAAGGTTTTTGGCTAAGAGTTAACAAACTTAAAATATCAGGTAATGCAAGAATATGCTTTAAAAATCCGAATATTTCCAAATGGATTATAATGACAAACAATGTAATCACTATGTTGTCAAAGTATCTAAGATTGTTTATTTCCAAGCTAAGTAGTATATTATGATCAG